CATGCCACACTTAATTATTACTGATATCAAACACTCAGAGCTGGTAATTGATCCTGTAAGATTGAAAACTCTTTTCCATGGGCAGAGATCACAGCCAGTGTCTCTGGGGCTCTGTCCAGGGGGGTTCCTGACCCCTGCCAGGGTCCCAGGGCAGCCAGAGGGAAGTTCTGCATTCCCACACCCCTCCAGGTTTTCCATGGAAGGAGAAGCGAGTGCACACATCCCTCTGCCCCAGGGATGGTTTTTTGGGATGCCAAAGGCTCGGGGAGCAGAGCTGTGCCACCCAGCCGTGCCACCAGCACGGGCTCCCCTTCCCTCCTCCCTCCAGCAGGGCTGGGATACATTCAACAAATATTTTTCCTTATTTTTTTCCTTTTTTCCCTATTTTTTCCCCCCTCCTCCGCATCCTGCTGCCCCTTTGCAGCAGCCACGATTCCCCCACCCGTGCTGGGTTCCTGTCAGGTGAGATCTCGGGGCAGTTTCACCCTTTGCTTGAGTTGACTTTCTATTATTTTCCCTTTTTCCCTCTTTTTTCCCTGGCATTGTCTCTAGAGCAGTGCAGCTGCCTGTCCTCTATAACCTCTCCGATAGCCGTGTGTAATTCAAGACATGTAAACTTCATTTTTTCTCTTTTTTTTCTTTTAATAAAATCTGTACATACCTTGAAATCTGCCTGGGGTCTGGGCTCTGCATCCCACCGGGAGCAGCTCCCACAGCCAGCACCCGGCATTTTTCCAGCCGGGAATGACCCCTGGAGCTGCTCCTGGGAAGGCCGATGCCCTTGGAGGTCTTTTCCCACCTCAACATTTTATTTTCCATCTCTTTAGGTGATGCTCTGTGACACAGCTGCGACCCCCAAGGTGATTTTTAGGATTTGGGGCTGGCAATGAAGGATCCTGAGGTTCCTCATTCTTCAGCTGTGGGTCCCGAGGTGATTTTTAGGATTTTTTGGCTCGCAATGAGGAGCCCGGAATCTCCCTCATTCTTCAGCTGCGGGTCCCGAGGTGATTTTTAGGATTTTTTGGCTCACAATGAAGGACCCTGAGGTTCCTCATTCTTCAGCTGCGACCCCCAAGGTGATTTTTAGGACTTGGGGCTGGCAGTGAGGAACCCCGAATCTCCCTCATTCTTCAGCTGCGACCCCCAAGATGATTTTTAGGATTTTTTGGCTCGCAATGAGGAACCCCGAATCTCCCTCACTCTTCAGCTGCGGGTCCCGAGGTGATTTTTAGGATTTTTTTGCTTGCAATAAGAAACCCCGAATCTCCCTCACTCTTCAGCTGCGGGTCCCGAGCCGCGCCCGGCGAGGCTGCCGGGGTTCCGCGGGAGCCGTGCGGCATTAATTAGCGGATGCTAATTAACAGCGTGGCCGTTTCCTGGCTAATGACCGCTAATTTCGGCTCGGAGCTGCGGAAGGGGTGGGATGGGGCGGGCAGGGCATGGTGGCGGCAGCGGGAGCGCCTCGGGGACCGCGGATGTGCCGGGGGAGGTGACAGCGGTGCCCGCCCGGAGCGCTGCAGCTGCCGCGGCCGGGCTGAGCCCGACCTTCCTCCGCATCCTCCTCCTCCTCCCCAGCTGTTTGTCACCAGCCTGGGGTGCGACACTGTCCCCCGGCACCCTGGGGTGCGCCTCTGCCCCTTCCCGCGGAGGGAGCCGGGGAGGGACCGCCCCGCGCCCCCGCTCTGTCCCCGCTGTCCCCTCGGCCCGGCAGGTGGCCCCAGCGCCCCACCGGTGGCATCCCAGTTTGGGGATGTCGCCGTTAGGGTGACATGGGGGGGACAGGGACACAGAGCTGGTGGCAGGGGGTGCTGCTGCTCCTGGGAGCGCCCCGAGGTGTCACCCTGACATGGGAGCGCCCAGAGGTGTCACCCTGCCCTGGGAGCGCCCCGAGGTGTCACCCTGCCCTGGGGGCACCCGGCTGTGTCACCCTGTTCTGGGAGCGCCCCGAGGTGTCACCCTGACATGGGGGCGCCCCGAGGTGTCACCCTGTCCTGGGAGCGCCCCGAGGTGTCACCCTGACATGGGGGCACCCCAAGGTGTCACCCTGACATGGGGGCACCCAAAGGTGTCACCCTGACATGGGAGCGCCCCGAGGTGTCACCCTGACATGGGGGCACCCCGAGGTGTCACCCTGCCCTAGGGACACCCAGAGGTGTCACCCTGCCCGGTGTGACGGGGTCAAAGGGCCAAGCCCTGAGCCTGGGGCTCCCTGGGGTGTGGGGGACACCTCAGGGGGCTCTGGGAGCCATCACTGTGGGGCTCTGGGTGACATTCCCACGGGACTCTGGGTGACATTCCCATGGGAGTCTGGGTGACATTCCCACGGGACTCTGGGTGACAATCCCATGGGGCTCATTGTGACATTCCCATGGGGCTCTGGGTGACATTCTCATGGGAGTCTGGGTGACATTCCCATGGGAATCTGGGTGACATTCCCATGGGACTCTGGGTGACATTGCCATGGGAGCCTGGGTGACATTCCCATGGGGTTTTGGGTGACATTCCCATGGGAGTCTGGGTGACATTCCCATGGGACTCTGGGTGACATTCCCATGGGGTTCTGGGTGACAATCCCATGGGAGTCTGGGTGACAATCCCATGGGAGTCT